TTACAATTTAAAAGCTAATTTTTATCATCACCTTTAATTTATAAATGGGAAAAATGAGGAAGGAACATCGAGCATCTTAAATAAAAAACAACAGAAAACCTTAGCATTTGAAATGCTGGACTCCCATCTCCCTGTTAGATGACATTAGCTTCTGTATCTGTATACGTGTAACTGTCTCTATTGATATATATGTATATATAGTACCTCTGTACATATACATATGTATGATATATATGTGTGCATATTCATGTATGTATAGATTTACGTATGCTATCTGTCTCATTTTTTAACCTTCAGATGTTAGGACTGAAGCATCTGACAAAAGCACTCTTTTTCTTCTTTTTCTTTTTTTTTTCTTCCTAAAAATAGCACCCCAAGAGCCCAGGTAAATGCACTGATCTATAGCATAAATGATCAGCCTTCATTTAATCCCAGCATGGATGCAAAATCTCCTTGACCGTAGTGCCCTCCCTGCTCTAAGACATTTGAGTTCCTGATCTTGGACTCCCTATGACAGCCTTATGTGCAGTGATTGTTGCAGGGATGGAGCTCATTTTGGAGAGCCCTGTGTCCTTCTTCCACCTGCACTGGACAGGTTTCGTGCAGGGGCACGTGAGGAAGAGGGTGGTGAGGAGGAAGACTGAGGCAGAGGGGAAGGCACTTCCATCCAGTGCTCGGAGAAAGTTGGTGCAGAGGTATAAAACAGAGCAAAAAATTGCTATAGAAACAAGAAGAAAGGCAAGTGAGAAAAACACAGGTTGGGAATTAAATAATATTGATCAGCCTCAGAGGCAATAGCTGTAAAGATCTGTCAGCTGTAGGAAAAATATCTCCACTGCCTAGCTAAGGTGTTCTTAGGCACAGGCTCCAACAGGCAGAAGGACAGGGTCTGGACTCCCATTTTCGATGAGTGTGTGAACAGAGGCTAATGGATATTGCATAAAGGTAAAGAAACCTTCATGTGGAGTGAGCAATATTCAGTCATCAAAAGAGATTTAGTTTAAGAGCTTGTTACTTTGGTGCTGGAAGAACTGAGGGCTTTTGAGTCCTTTCAGGGAGAGATTCTTTGCCTGTGAGATTGCACAGAAGAAGGGATGGAGAAGATGATCCATGGAGAATTGGCTAAATAGGAGTAGGGGGAGGGACACTGTAGGAAAACTGTGGAATGGAAGACATTATACTTGTGGAGGGAGGAGAGCATAACCCTGGAGTGCACTACAGAAGAGGCAGTGCTGGGCCAATTCTGTGGTCTTCTGAAAACACAAAAGTGATGTTGCGTGTGCCATTGGTTCTATTTGCAAGCTGAGCAGATACGTTCATACCCTGACAGCAGGCAGGTATGTCAAGCGTCCCCCCACCAGCCTAACATTCCCTAGACTATGTGTTGAATGAAAAAGAGCACATGAGCCCGCGTACTTTAAAGATCATCTGCACATTCCTAGGGTCTTTGGGAAAGGCCTGTCCTTCATTAGTTCCCGCCAAAACATTCAGTAGCAGAAGTAGTAATCCAACTCTGGTTGACACTGAGGCAATTTGCATCTGCAAAAGACACTTCAAGAAATCATCTAGCAGTCTTGGCAAAGCCTCAGGTACATCGTTGTCAGGTCTCAGCAATGCCACAGCCTAATGTGGAGCAGAAATATGTATTTATAGCTGAAAAATTAGATTTGGACGAGAGGGACGTTGCTGATCTTCAGGAAGGCTTCCCTTTATGTTAAAGACTTAAAGTGTGACCATTTCCATCAAAGCTAGGCATTCAAATCTTCATTATAATCAAGATAGACATACACCCCTTTTGGCCGTGGTTCACATTCTGATCAGAAGGGATCCTTTAGGATGTGTGAACTTGTGGGCTGCAAGTCCTGTTTCTCCTCACTAAATCCACCTGGAGTCCTTTTCTCAGATGGAGATATTGTGACTTGAAGCCTAATTAGGGCTTTAAGCTATTATCTCCATTCAGTGTTCAAAGAAGACGGTCTCCAGATCCACTTAGAGGCTTTAAATGAGAAGCTGTTTGGAGGAATACTGGCATTTACCAGGTGCATTTGGCTACGGTTTGCTCAGCACAGCACATTCTTGGTCATTGTCACTTGAAGCAAAGATATTTTTCCTAATCTGTCCTTCTGTGCAGACCCCTGGTGGTCAGGAAGTATGCTTCCTCTTTGTTTCCCTGGTACCACTTCTGAACTAGGGTGTATATACTTGTCTTGATAACGCTAACACTTCTATTCACAAATTTTCTTCAGAAGTACCCAAGGCTGCTTTTCTGGGTATACCTTTCCCCAGAAAAGTGAATTGCATTCCTTAAACAGATGATTTTGGCTGGTGTCCAGCCTGTTTAACACAGATGCCTAACTTGCTTCTCAATTCCAGGCCTCTGATCAAGCAGTCCTCATCAGATAGGTATCTGACTCCTCTGCCTAATCAACCAAGAAAGGCATGTACCTCTGAAGTCCTCCAGAGGGAAAGTCTGCCTGAGTTTAGGACCCAAAAAAGAGGACTGGGCACTTGATAGTCTATTTCATTTGTCAATTGATGTAAAAGCATTACTGCTTACTAGAAACCTTGCCCAAGCTCAGGTTCTTCACCTCTGTGGGCAGGATATCTCCTTAGAGATGTCCAAAGATCTCTTACTCTCTACCTCCAAGGAGGTGCTACAGACCCATACGTTAGAAAGATTTAGGCAGACAGGATGACCATCTTTGACTTTCATTTGAAAGCATGTTTTCTGTTTTGTTTTGTTGTTTTAGCCTCAGCAAGTTCTAATCCTTCATCTGTACATATGTGTGCATATGTGTGTGTGCACGTCACATCCCCACTGTCTGAAGGTGTGTGTGGAGGATGGGCAGAGGGATGGTAGTAGCGACTCCAAAGCCAATGGCAGACCACTGAGGTCCTTGTTGCTCCAGCCATAAGGGAAAAGGTTTCTCCCTGTCAAGGATATGTCCAAGAGCCCCTCCTCACCCTGAAGGTTGTCTTGAGCTGGCATAGGTGAGGTGGCGTCTATGGTCATAGGCACATAGATGCAGTGACCATGGTGTGGCCTCCTTTGTGACTGCTGTCTGTAGCCAAAAATGCCCCCATGGGTAAGAGGGATGCTGTTTTGCTTCCTTAAGCACAGCCTAGATCTGTACTGTTCACACTGCTTTTTCTTGAGTGTCCAGAGACATAAGTGACAACATTTCTGCCCTGGGGCATCTTCAAAAAGACAGTTTTCTTCCTTTTTGCTTGAAAAGTGACTGTAGAATCAAATCTTGCATCTGCCTTTGGTGGAAGCAGTCTATTCTCTTCACCCAAACCCCAGGAAGCTTAGGCTAACACTTACAGCTCATCCAGCTGCATAGTTCTGGGACCAGGCCATTGAGAAGGAGACACTTCCAACCAAGCAGCAGCCAACTGTGGACAAGGCATGGAGCTGAAGCCAATGCTCAGTTCAGGGGCTTAGTTCACTGTCTCATCAGCTGAGCATAATGGCACTAGCCAGAAAGCATATTTCAGCTCAGAAAAAAAAAAAAAAAAAAAAAGTCAAATAATAATAATAAAAAGCCAAAGAATTTTCTCTAGCCAGCATGCATGACTTCAGGATGAGAGCTGCCAACAATATTCTTCTAACACCCAAACACAAGGTGACATGTTGGTTGTATACAGTGACTTTTTAGAAATAGGCAGGAGGAAAGATATTAGCATTGCCAGCGGGGTAGAAATGCAGTACCTGAGAACAGGGTGCAGATCTGCCAACTAAGACAAGTGTATCATTATATTCAGTGATTTTTGGTGTTTACTGAGGCAAAATTACCTGGGCCAATACAGGGACATTTTCCTTAGTAAGAAAGAAACAGTGTTTCTGTAGATTGCAGCAACCAATCCTAGGCAGTTTCCGTTTTTCTTTCTTTTTTTATTTTTTTCCTTTATTTTTCCTCTCCTCTCCTCTCCTCTCCTCTCCTCTCCTCTCCTCTCCTCTCCTCTCCTCTCCTCTCCTCTCCTCTCCTCTCCTCTCCTCTCCTCTCCTCTCCTCTCCTCTCCTCTCCTCTCCTCTCCTCTCCTCTCATCTTGTCTTTCCTCTTCTCTCTTCAATTTTTTCCATTTTTGTTTTCTTTAATCAGGCCAAAGCCAAACACCAAAGCAGTAAAATTCCTTCTTTTAACGATGCTGATTTAGGGATCATCATGTCTTCTGAGTCCTTCTACAAGTTTGCTTCTCACGCCATACCAGCATTGCTGTATCCAGAGCCTGCTGCCCTAATAACCACTAAATAGACATAGACATGCAACAACTGCCAGTAGTTGCTTTTCTTTTTCTTTTTTTCCTTTTTCTTCCTTTTCTTTTTTCTTTTAATTCTCAGTAGCCAAAGCAGCTCTTGGTCTATTACTCCCCCATGACTTTAAACTTTCTGGGATGTAATTGCATTAGAGCAGTGCCAGCTCCGGAGTCTGTCCAAGGAAATGGCACAGCTCCCAGAGGACTTTGGCTAGCTGTCCCACGACACCCCGGAGGCTGGGGGTGGTGCGGGAGAGGCTGGTGCTAACAAAAGCATTCTGGTTGGCAGCGAATGTATTTCTTTTCCAGACTTTGCAAACCGATCTGTGTCTGCGCTCATTCATTCAGTGCATGCTCTCCTCAACAGCCACTGCACAGCGTTCTGTTACTGTTCACTGTTGACTGTGTGTCTACATTTAAGTGTGTGTTTTACGTGTGTGTCTCCGGCTAGGCCTCCTCCATCCTTTTCTTTTTCCTTTCTTTCTTTTTCTTCCTTCTTTCTTTAATTCTGTTCGGTTTCTTTGCTTTGCTTTCCTTCTTGTTTTGCTTTATATAGTTTAACAGCAAGTATTTCCATTAGAGCTTTTTGACTAATGCTGTGTTTGTAAGTTTTTTTTAATTATTTTTATATATATCTTCTTTCCTTACCTTTCCCTTTTTCCACACTATATATAAATATATATATATAAAAAAAATCTTTTCTTCTTTTGTCATTCAATCAAATTCCAACAAAACCAACCAAGAGCCAGTCAAATCCACCACAGTCTCGCGCTGAGCTAGGAAAAAAGTTCACGTAATGACATGAAAGTGGAGAATACAGTCCCCCAGGCCGTAAGTTCAAATCAACTCGAAGTTGAAAGTGTGACATGATGGCGTCATGTAACAAGCTAAGAATTGGTTGCATGACATGCCGTCAAGTTTCGTGCAGGTGCCGTGATTGAAGCATTTTTCTTGGATGTTGTATCAGTTGATGATTGGCCAGTCATGATCACATGTGCCTTTTTTGACTTTGTGCTGCCACAATTTTTTGCTGTGCTCATTTTCGTTTCGTTTTTGGTGCTTGCAGTGGTTTCTTTATTTGTCGTTTGATTTCTCGTCAGCGTTTTATGCTTCTCTAGATGTCACATAGAAGGAAAAAAAAAAGATGGATTCCTAATTCTTTAGAAAAAAATGGGATTGTTGTAACTTTACAGATAATTTGGAAAAAGTAACAGAGAGAAAAAATGTGTGGTTAATATTTTTGCACTGAAAATCTTGTGATTTTATTTTTTTTTCTGGAGAATTTGGGGCCTTTTTCAATTGATGCCTTTTTTACCCCTTAGGATATTTCAAATCACTCTCCAAAATTTTAAAAACAAATGGTAAAAATAAAACAAAAAGCAAAATGATAGTAACAGTAGTTTGAAAACTATAGCAATCAAATATATATATATATATACTAACCCCAAGAAAAGCCTCATTGTATGTCTTTTCAAGAATTCCTAATTCTAAGGTTCTGTATTACAGCAACTCCAGACAAAATTAATTGTTTAGAGGGAGGGAGGGATTGTTTTGAATGGGGAAAAAAAATAACCAAAAACATCCAGATCAAAACGCAAAATGCATCTTTTTGTTTACAACTGAAAAAGGGTCCTTGACGAGTGTTTTTTATTTTTTTATTCTATTATTATTTTTGGTGTTGTAATTGTTTAGACTGCTGTGTACGGTTTGCTGTTTGTTGAATCAACAGTGTGAAAACCTGCCAGCATGGATTGATATTCCGCATGACACTTTTCCACCAGAGTGGACCTTTTGCAGTTTCTAAGTTTCTTGATGTAATAAATCACCAAGTGTATAAGAAGAACCTGCTTGCTAGAAAGAGATAAGAGCTAATCCTTAATGATTAAGCATCCTACTTAAATGTCAAGCCTAGTCGGATCATGATTACATTTTTTTTAAATAACTTTTTTTATTTAAGAAATGTTAGCTTTACTTTTTTTTTTTTTCAAAAAAAAAAAAAAAAAAGAAAAAAGAAAAAAAAAGTTTATTCCAACAGTCTTTTTTTTCATTTAACCTCCTATAAATTACCTGTTCAAAGTCCCACTTTCTGACATTCACAAAAGATGTAGATGTTATTGGCAGCTATGTCTCCACAGAACGCTCACACACTGTCATAGACAGCATCCCATTAAAATGTAGAAGAATTCTTTCTCGATGCCTTTCACACTACCAAAGCCCACCAAGCAAGATTGTGATCTGGCATGGTAAAGTGGCACTTAAAAATAATTAAAACTTAGTTATCTGTACATACATAGTAATACAGATTTAAATAGACATCCCTCACTATTATTTGATTTATGATTATTATTACTAATAGGAACAATTTTATTTTTCTCTATCATGATCGTGACTACCTTGCTCACTTTGGGTTTGATCCGGTTCTCACTGAAGTCAAGGAGAATCTTTCTGTTGACGAGAGTGGGAGCAGAATCAGAGCCATTGACTCAAAAAGCAAACAACTAAAGCAGAAACCCCATCCTGTCCCAATTGAAGGGAGAAGAAAACACCCATTACTTTCAACAGGAGCAGGATTGGGCCCAAAAGAACAGACTTGTTTTTAATTTCGTTTTCATTTTTAGGTCTCTTTCCCCTCCCAAATATCCCCCTCCCTTCCTACTTCCCCCTTCCCTTTTTGATTTAATTTGCAATGATCTTCTTCATTTTTTAGGGCAGCAGCTGAATGGGCCACAATTAGAAAAACAAAACAAAAACAAAACAAAACAAAACAAAAACACAAAAAAGTATATCTATATTAAAAAAAAAAAACGGGAACTGTTGGATTACACCTTTGACATATCAGCAAATATCAATCAAGCTGAAGACTTCAGACTTATTCTCTCTTTGATTGTTTAGACTGTAACATTTCTTCAAGAAAAGTATCACATCTGCTGACTTCGAAGGACATGCGCTTGAAAACAAACAAACAAACACATAAGTAAAATCAGAACAGGAACAAGATCAACCAGGATTTCTGAAGAAACACTGATATCACCACAGCGGCTTTTCTTCAAACAGGAGATGCAAACCTGGATACTGACAAAGGAGTGCCTGTTTGCCACCAAGGATGCGGTTACCATGTGCGACCCATGGTAGCAGTCACTGAGCATCTTTATCTGTCATTCCTTAGCTATATAGGGACCAAAGGACAAAACTTTTTACCGCAGACTTGTAGCTGTATGTAAAATATGGAAGTTCTTTCCTTTTCTCTGAGCTGTTCCTAAAACAGTTTTTGAGAGCGATTATAAGAAATATATAAAAATTAAAAAAAAAAAAATGCTTAAATGCTTTTAAAACAGCAAGATAATAGTTCTTTGATACTTTGGGAGGTTCTTTGGTTATACGTTAATTAGAGTCTATGAAGCTTTCGTATGGTTTTCTGTATAATACGTAAGGATTGCGCTGTTAAAGGCAGGTTAGATGGATATCTATGAAAAGCAAAAAAGAAAAAAACTTAAATACACTAAAAAGCATAGAAGAGAAGAGAAAGGAAAGATGGTTGATATTAAAATGGAAAACAAAAAAAGAAAAGGTTTGTAAATGCTTCTAACTCTCCCCATTTAAAATCCTAATAGTTGTACAGAATTTAAAAAAGAAAGTTTAAAATACCTATATAATAGAAAAAAAATTAGACAACATAAAAAAATAAAAAAAAAACAAAAAAGCAAAAAAAAAAATAATACTACATAGAAGTTAGCGTTAATGCTAAAACAAAGATGTTGTAGAACTGTAATTTTTGTAGAGTTTAGATTGAGCATAAATTCCTACTCTGCGAATTGCTGTTGGATGCTGTTATTTATTAAGGAGACAAAGGAGATAAATGGCTATTATGGCAGCTTTTTTAACTGCAAGCATTCCAGCTATTAACAAAATAAACAGAATAAAACTCGACTCTGTAGACAATGCAAATGGGAAACAAAACAGCTGTCTTTTTATCAGACGTTAGTTCTAACTTGAAGAACGAAACACAGCTAAACGCTTCATGTCTTCATGATCTGCTGTCCGCGAAATTCCCATCATCCTATGCTTCAGTAGCTTCCATATTTGCTCTAGAAACCTTCAGGGCAAGTGATTAGCCTAGAAACCTTAAACTTAAAAAAAAAAAAAAAAAAAAAAAAAAAAAATTAAAAAAGCATAAAAAAAAAAAAAAAACCTAAGTATAAAACCTAAGTATAAGACAAACATTAAGCAAACAATCTCTTTGAAGAACTTCTGAAACTGTTTACAAGGAATTTTGAGAAACGGGGATGTTTAAAAAAAAAAAATAGATGCTGGCTCTGTTTTTCTGTAAATAAATTTGCATATTTTGTAGGACTTTTAATTGTAATGATAGAGAAAAACAAGGAAAACTATTTAATGAAAGCACGATATTTATCTTTGGTAAATGACTTTAGAGCAGTTAAAAAATAAGACATTGCTTTAAAAAATCTGACTCAGAAAAAAACAATGAATTATTTAAGAACACATATATTTTAAAGTATATCATATTTATTATAATTTATTTTCACAGTCTTAAAACTTGATTTACATCATTGTCACACTTGTTTGCATTGACTGAGCAGTGTGATAATTGTTTCTGATTCTTTGATTTAACTCTGTTTTAATGTTCTTGTTTGTTTTTCTTAGCATTTTTTATCTTGATCTCAATCTCCTTTTTTCCTTTTTTTTTTTTTTTCATTTTTTTCATTTTTTTTCTCTTTTTTTATTTTTTATTTTTTATTTTATTTTTAATTCCCTAATGGGCCTGATCTTCCCGTCCTTACTCCAGCAGAACTCCCAATGAGACATGTTGAGTATTTTGCCCGAGCAAGGACAGCCAGACTGAGCCCACAGCTAGGAAGTACAGATGTGTAACGCAGCTGCAGTTCCATACAACTGCTCTTTCACTCTCAATTCCCTAAAACTCCTTGTAATCTTCTGTAATTATTGAATGACGCTTTCCAGCTTAGCCCTAAATAAAGCACAGTTTAAAAAAAAATACCATGTTCTTTGCTTCTTGATGGCTTTCCTTAATGTGTTTGCTTTGAGAACGAAATGAATCTATTTCAACTCTTTCATTAATATACATTGTTTGAGTATCAGAACAAATCCCTTTGTTATATAAAACATATCTCATTGGATTGAATTAATGACACTGTTTCATTTAATGTCTGCTTGATATTCCACTGTGGTTTACCTTAAACCTAGTAGGTTAGTAGATCAAATAATGGTACATACAAATTAGAGTCATTGTAGCTCCTGTTTGAAGCCTGTTGTTTGATTTCACACTCATGGTTTTTTCATGCTGATAAGTATAGAGGCCAGAGCTTGGGACATTGTTCCTTTTGCTGCTTTGGGACAACCCTGTGAAATTCAGCAGTCTCCAGAGATGAGGTTCAGTTTCTTCCTGAGCTTCCCTCACATCTCATTCTTTGAATGATGGTTCTTCCCTCACCCTCAAATGGCTGTACCAGGTCAGCTGAGACGAGGACAGGATCTTTGTGTTTCAGTCCCAATACTTGCAGCTATGTCTGCTTCTGGACAAGTTGCGCCAGCTAAATTCATCTCTAAATAGGACTAATGGTGCTTGTCCATAATATGAACTCCACAGATGGAAGGAGTTCTATTAGTAGAAACTCCTATTATTACTATTATGAGTTACTAATGTCTGTTCGGGGCTATAGAAATAAATGAAATGTAAATCAGGTGATGAATACTAGGAGGGAATATGGTCAGTATTATTATTTTTTTTTTTCATCTGAAAAAAAAGGTAAATGCAAAGGAGCACATTCATCAATCTCATCTCTGCTTACAGCACAGAAGATGCTCAGAAGAGGATTAATGTGAGGGAATCAGCCTCAAACACCACTGAGCTAGAAAATGAGGATTAGGTCTCCAGTTTCTGCCCCAAAGCCAATTCAGCATCCTATCCCAAGCTGTACAGACATGGGAGACAAACAGAGGTTCATCCTCTGATATCAGCCAGTTTTGAGTGTTAGATCACCCAAAGCCCTTCAAAGAGAGGAAAAAACAGATAGGGAAGAGGCATATTAAGAGTGGTGCTGAAAGCTGTTGCCCAATTCCCTCTCTATTTCTCAGGCTGTCCTCCTAGCTCTTCCTTGTGGTCCCCAAACTCCCTAGATCCCTCCTTTCTGATACTACATCAGTACAGTGGGTTTGGGCATCCTGCATGTCACAGTGTACGCCCTGAAAGGTGTACCTGCAAGGGCATGGCCACGTGGCCTAAGTAAGATGGGATATGTTCCCAAGACATCCAGACAGGGACATCCTTGGCTAATATAATATAGCTGGGGGCTGATAGTTGCATACTGTGAAATGAGATTTCAGAACCTTTTCTCAGGTACCTGCAATATACAGTAGGTAAAATATCCAGTGCTGGAAAGCGATCACAAGGGGAGACCAGAAAACACTATTAAAGCTACCTGGGTGGCCCAGCTCTGTACTTGACTCCTAAAAATACCTAGCTCCTTACAGACACCATAAGGGTTGCAGAACTGGGGAACCTGGCTATGAAGACCAATAGTGACAACCAATGGAACAGTAGGGACCTTGCATTCTCCTCACTTTTTTGTCCAGCGTATCCTCAAGTATTTAAGTGGGAAAATCTCCAGTCCCATTCCCCCCAAAAAACAGAAACACTGCAAGACTGTCCACCCTTTGGAGGTTCATTTAACACTAGTGTACAGGGGTACAGAAGCCTTGCTGTGACAATACTGCTGCCTGAACCATGTGGTGTTTACTTGCTGAGCTCTACTCTCAGATTATTTTGATAACACAGACTGAAATAGGATGGGCTGAAGCAGAAATGCAGACTTGGCCTTGTGGTTTATTAAACACCCTTCTCTGGGCTGTTCACACATACCCACCCTGTTTTAAGCTTTAACTGTTTGCTATACGGAGAACCTTTGCTTCTTTCAAACTGCCATCAAGGTGCTATATAATCAATAAAGCTTTGCAGCATAGGTTGGTTTCAGCACGAGGCTGAGCTGTTGAGACAAGCCCCAGTGTGAAGCCCTGAAAATGAAGAGAAAGGCAAAGCCAGCCTGAAAGACTGCAGCTGCCTGCACATATGAACCAGAATGCAGCAGACCAGAAACACTATTGCAGAAGCTCAAAACCACTGGGTGTTTGACGCTGGGTCCTCTTTCTTATTTATAGCTGTTAAATCACATTACATGAAACTAAAGGTTTGGTTAAAGGTAAAGCATGCACCCTTCACCATGGAGCCCACCCCCATGAACAGCTGAGGGCGACCTTTGGTACGAGCCATGGTTTGCAGTCACTATTTCTGGAGTCCCATGGAAATGCCTCAACCACAAATCATGCTTCTGTGTCTTTAAGACAACAGAAAATCCCTTTTTTGAGGCAGTTTTCCAAATCTGCATTTTCCAACATACCCACACACAAGAGAAAACTTTTCCTCCCCCCACTGCCACCCCATCCCAACTCGCAGCGGCTATCCATTAAGCCGCTCCATATGGAGCTCTTCCTGCTGTCCATTTGTCTACCTGACATCATGACACTGTTGGTAATGTCCTTGTGAAGCAAGATGAGGACTTTTCCGCTTTGAATATTTCAGTTTCCAGCAGCACATTTCCCATTGTTGCAAATGCGCCAGGACACTGACTACCATGAATCATGCCAAACATTCCTGTTTATGGCCTCAGGAAGCCACTCACACTTCACAGGGCTTTTGCAAGGGGAAACACATATCACTGGGTGCCTCGGTGAGATGTACGAGCTTGTGTACAGCATCTCTTAGAAAAGAAGGCTGCTGATGTTGTTGCCTATGAAGGTCCCTTGGTACATTCCATTTGAGAATACCTGGCTCATCCTATCACTTCAGAGCCAATGGAACATGAGGTCATGGTCTCCAAATGCCTTTTGGAATGTCACTGGTGCTCTACTTACTGAAGAAAACAGATATTTATACTGATTTTAGTCCCATGGCTTCCCTCTAACTACAGTAAGCACTCTCAGTACAACAGACAAATCCAAAATAAATCTTTGGAAGGTATAAAATCAGAACCCTTGTGCTCTATTTGCTGGGTGAATGAGGTCATTCTGGTATCCCTTTGCACACTTAAAGTCACCACTGGTACTGTACAAGCTTTTCTTAGTGCTCACTCAACCTTGAACATCCTACACTTGTTCTGAAGAATCCATATAGCACTATCACTGATAAAAACACAACTGATTTTGGTGGCAAGAAACACTTTGCTGCCGAGCATCTTCTCTCCATGGCATTCAGAAGCCACCCTGAATTCTGGGTCTTGATCGGGTAAGTTTTGAACCTGTTATGGATTATATCCAGCTGAGCACAGACTGGAGAAGGATACGTGCATATCTGCATACATACAGGTAAATGTGCCATTATGGAGCACTGGACACCTCACTAGGACAGACTGCTTGGTACTCTTTACCCTGCTGCTTGAGGAGTGCTCCTGCGAAGCACACATTGCTGGGTTACAGTCATTGCTTTCAGTTCCTCAAAGCAAGGTCCCCAACCATGCACCTCTTCACATGGTCAGTGGGTGAAATAACTGTCCCAGCAGGGAGCCACAGCTTCATATCCCAAAAATGGTGCTCTTCTCCTCAGCTCTGCAGAGGCCCTAAGCTTCTCCTTGCCTTTAGAGGCATGCCAGATCACATGCTTTACTTTCTCCACACACTGCACAGAGATTTTCAGCTGCCCAATTTATGTTGCAAAGCCTGCCAGACAGCAAAGCATCCACGAATTAGGCATCCTGACTCCTTTGCAGATCCTTTCTCCAGAGGGTGAGGGAGATGATTCCACTTCAGTAAACTACAGAGCAGGCTCCAGAACTGGAGTGGCTGTCAGCAGGCACACTGTACACAGATCCTCCTACCTACTTCTACATGAAAAGATTACCTTCTTTCAGCTAGAACAAAGAGCAATTAAGTGAGACAATAGGCCTAGCTGTGTTGGTGAACCATCTGTCATCAAGTGTTAGACATGAGCAATATCTTTTTTAAGCCAAGCTAGTCAGAGCCCCCAGCCAGTGTTACAATTGCATGTAAGCAGAAAAGGATCAGCCTAATTTTTCCTCAATTTAACTCCTGCCACTTGGTCTGCTCTATTACTGCTGCTCCTACAGCAACCCCAGAGCACACTGAAGCACTTGCATCTCACACAACAGGTAT